CAGACGTTCTTGCGAGTCCATGTTTACTTTTTGCGGACGACTTGAAATCCTGGAGTTCCAATGCCAGCGCCCTCCAAATGGATGTAGACGCCTGCAAGCAGTGGTCGTTGGACTGGCACCTTCCTCTGAATGATGAAAAGTACGTCCATGTGTCGTTTGGAGGAGACTCAACGAATGCCTTTGTTATGCATGGTGAGAAAGGCCAGAAAACTTCATGAGGACATATGCCAAAAAGATTTGGGCTTTTGTTTCTCCGCAAACTTGTCCTTCGCACTACACCATGAGAAATCGGCCCGAAAGGCTTTCGCCACTTATCGGATGATCCGAAGCAACTTCTCCCGTATTACTCGCATGGACTTCCAAATACTCTATGGAGCCTACGTTAGACCACTCCTTGAGTACGCCAACTAAGTTGCCTACTCAGAACGCACGAAGGAACTCACCCTCATTGAGCGTGTCCAGCGGGCCGCCACGAGAATTGTTGCCGGCCTCAAGTCCGGGGACTACGAAACGCGTCTCGCGATGCCTGATCTCGTTCGCCTACGACAAAACCTAATTGTTACTCATGTCCTGTTTAAGCAAGGCTTGGCAAACGGGTTTTTCACCGTTGACCCAGCAAAAACGGTGGGGACATATTAAGAAAATTGTCAAGCCCAGAGTGAGCACACTCATTAGGCAAAATTTCTTCTCTGCGTGGAATGACCTTCCTCCAACAATTGTTGACGCTCCTTCTCGAACCTGTTTCAAAGCCCTATTAGGCATTTGTTTAGGCGAATCCTCGCGCTGGCATGCTGTATCGCGCTGAGAACATGAAGGGAGTTCTACACCCTTTTTTCGCTTGTGCTTTTCAGGTGAACAACAGCCGCAGAAGTGCAGAACATAATCGACCGGGAAAACGTGGGCAAAAGCCTCGATCCTGTGTATCAATCCGTGAATCATTGAATCCGTGAATCCGTGAGCGTGTTCCTCGTCCGACCGATCGCAGCTCCACGTACTTCTGATCTAGCTAACGAATGACATTTCCAGAATGCGTTGCAGCTCCAGTGGAAAGGTGTGCGGGGGTGCAGGACTGCTGAAAACTAGTTGATGGCACCCGGCAAAGAGGGAAGCACAAAAAGTGAAACAATTGGGCATGAGTTGCGACTAGTTCAATGATGATGCCGGTTTACTTGAACTAAAACTGGAAAGTAGTTGCTGGCCCTGAGTGACCTTGGGCGGTCCAGTAAGTCACCAGTTTCAAAGCCCAACGGTTTGTCAATCTGTTTCAAGCGCAGTTCGTGAAGACTAGCCACTACCGGTGCGCAGATGCAGAGAAACTCGTTTAGTCTCCTCAGTGGAGCAACAGGTGTTAACCACGCTGGGCAAGAAATGAAAGGATGGATGCATTGTTGCTGCAAACGCTGGGGTTTGGCATCGGCGCCTGGTAGCGTGCGGGGTCGGTCTCTCCGGACGATATGCTAGAATATGATCCAGTGTGTTTTAGAGGTTCGGGGCGCACCACTGCGCCTTGGGAGCACAGTCATAGACATCGGGCGAGCATGCCTGATAGTAGCCTTTTTGGCCTGCGAAGATGCATTGCGGTCCCCTATTTAGCTTGCAAGGAAGTAACCCTGCGAAATGCCAAGCTCCGCGACTCCAGTAACGAGAAGGGAACCTTTCGTGGAATAGTGAGGTTTGTGCCAGAAGGCGACGGAGTGAAAGATGACAGAACATGAGCTCGGAGAACCGCACCAGCTTCCGTAGAACTCTGACCCCCCATATTATCCCGAAATTGTTATTTTTCCAGGTTCACCAACCTATGATATCCCCTAAAAATCGCATTGAGCGCCAGGAAAGGATCCTGCTCAAGGTGGTTGGGAAGGCGTGTCGGGATATCTTCGAACTCGGGATATTGGAGGCTGTATATGGAACTGAGGAATTTAAATCCCCGAATTGACACGTTCGCGTTCACAGCTAACAGTGCCATTGTGATTCAAAGGAGCGCCTCACTCGTTCATAATTGCTTATTAAAAGGTGAATATTGTTTTCCAGACGCTAGCTTCAGTGTTTTGCACCTTGTCCTCAAACTGCCAATCACGTCATTCAAGAGAGTTGAGTCGGAACAAGAGAGTTGCTTCACTTAATAATCTATTGGGCCAAGTCGTCAAAGAAAGAGCCGGCCTTTCCGCTCACCACCCTCATCAGAAAGAACAACTCTAGATAAGTGCTAGTGGCGATGGAACCAAGTTCTGAGCGTAATACCAGCGTCCGGGTCGCATGTGAACTCAAGCATAACTCTGTATCAACAATTCTGATATGACCCCAAAGAACTAGTTTGACCTAACTCAACATTCATGTCTCCCTCATGGATGACAACTTCTATTCTCCTTGCTCGATAAATGAGCCCAAGTTGCTCTCCATGGGAAATATTTCAGCGTCAGAACTGCAGTCAATGCATATGTCGAAGCTACAGATAGGCACCGGATCGAGTGTCGAGTAGCGTTCAGCTTTGTTCCGCCGGATGTCTGAATAGCTCACAGGCGGTTGCTCGCTGAATCCAATCCTGCCCTGGGGCATAATGCAGCTGCCACCATATGTTTCACGAGCAATCGATTTTAAATTACCAAACACGTGGAGAAAAATGTGCAAGATTGAGTTCGTCTTTGACTTCTTGGGTCTCGCGAGTGCGTTTAATACGCAGCATATATCGATACAAGATACAAGATCACGGCAAGGATTGCTTTTCAACAATTTGACGTAGGATGTAGAAATTGAAAGTTTCTATGTAGAAAGGACATCTTAAATTCATCACTTTATTTTTCTGCTATTATTGAATGGGTTTGAATAAAGCATGTGTGAGAAGAGACTGGATCTTACCGTGGTGTGACGGTTTGCGCACCTCAGCGATCCATTGAGCTATACTGGAGAGTGTCCCGCGACACTCACAGTGTCTCTCATACCAGGTTGGTCAATGGTTAGAGGTCTGACGAACACAGTCTCCTGGCCCTCCAG